AAAATTGCAATAATATCGTATCGTGCATAAAGTATTGTGATAATATCGTATCGTGGGATGTATGGTGATTCCCACCTCTACCAAGAACCCCAGAGGGTTACTTCAACGATATCAGGTGTGGTATTTGGAGACATTAGCTCTATGATTGCAATCAATTAATGACTTAAGTGGTTGTGAACAAGTTTCAACATAAAAATTGACCACAATTCATGGATAAACTGTAGAAAATAAAAGGAATTTCTAAATAACTGGAACACATAAACTAATGCCAGCTGCAACTAGGGTTAAGAGTTGAAATCATTAGCTGACAGTAAGGATAAACAAATGATATTAGTAGCTCAACACAGTGGATACTAAGGATGCACCCGTACATCACCAAAATACTGGTACGGACCTTTATTGACTTTGTTTTATTGTTACATATAAATAAAGTGACACATACTGATGATCTATGATACAGAGGGACATCTTGTGCATTGTGTTCCTGCTGCTGTCATCTCTTAATTGTGATCCTGTTCGTGCTTCCTGTCAAGGTAAGGCTGTACGCTATGACACTATTAATTTTAATGATGTTATCAGCGACATCCGAGACCTCTGAACTAGTCGTCCTGTGCATCTGTGCTATCATCATACAGAGGCACCATGTCAGCCCTGTAACCATCAATCCTTGTGCATCTTTGTTCTCTCTCTCTTATTCTCCCGTGCATGACTTTCAGCTATCTAACATCCTATCAGTTCACTTCGCTTGTACTTATCTGTCATTGCAGGGTATTCATTTCAGACACCTCGTAGTCTGATCTCCCCTGGCTCCTATGTCACTTCCTGTTACTAGATTCTTTGTTACAGCAAAAGGGACGCACGCAAGGTCTCTGTGGCAACAGGTCAAGCCCAAATGCCGCGTTGTCTCCTCTTAAAACTGTCACTCCTCGGCCCTCCTGACTGCTCTGCTCCCTCCCCTTTTTGACAGCTACAACAGAGAAGGAAACCGGGAGGAAAAGTTGCTGGTGGAGCTGCTGACAGCACTTATCACCATCAACTTACGACAGGCGACTGGTTTTCTGTGCGATTCGTACAAAAAATAAAATAGTTACAGAAAGCAAGGCGAGTGCAAGAGCACATCAGGAGACCCAAACGCACATGATTTACCGACATGACAGTAAATGATGCAAATAGTCACTTTCGTGATGCCAAACATTTGAAGAATGCCATTGGACTTAATAGGCGCACTTCTCTGCCTGACAGCGTGAAGATATGCGCAGAGAGTGATCAGCCGTAGAGCTGCAGCACCACCCAACATGTTTATGAGCCTGAACTGAGCTGGGTCATATCAGGTGAAAAGGAAGAGAAAAAAAACAGCCTGTGAGTTTGATAAGTAGTTCTTGTTATCAGATTCTCGCGTTTTAATGCGGCTGACGCTGGAGAGCTGCGCGTTTCTATCTTTGCACAGTTTATTTCTCAATCTAAAAATCGCAAGTATGAAAAAGCAACCCGTCTCTCGTCTGGATTAAAGGATAGAAAAACATATCGAGAAGTATCGTTTCAAGGGAAAGAAAGGGGGGGAGCAACACGCTTCACCACTCGGGCTTTGCGAGATGGGTGGTGGGATTTGAGTCTGGAGTCAGAGAGATCATTATGTGGTTGCCACGTAGTGAATGTGGCCACTAATCCACACCACTGAACCTAATAGCTACCACTGTGTTGTAGTGAAAGGAGCACAGAGAAAGTTCCAGGCCTCACCTCTGCCGCTGCGGCCCACAAAACGGAGGTCGTTGAAACGTGCTACTTGGTTCTTCATCACACCCGAGGCGTTCCGCAGCTCAGCGGAGTAGTTCTCATCGTTGCCCGCCATTACGGTGACAACGGTCCCATCAGGTATATCTCCCAGGGCTACCACCTGTTAGAAGCACAAAAGTTCTGCTTTCAAATTTTCAATCTGACGTAAGCTACATTATATTCCACGTCTCCTGTGGGGGGGAAGATTTTAGTTTAAATATCAGAAGCTGTGGGAAAACAAAAACATCTTGTTCTCAGTTTTGATTATTCAAAGCTTGTCTAGACTCATCACTTTACATCCTGCCATCCTCCTACAAATTAGGTTGATAAATGGATTTAATTTTAATGCCTCGAAGCAGCCTGATATCATGATGAACGTCCTCAGTTGAATCATGTAAAATGCAGTCTTTCAAAACAAAAGCGCCAAGGCCTCGTGTTATCATTTAGATTCTTGGATGCAGATGAAAGAGGATAAGTAAGGCCACAGAAGTGGAATAATTACAGAGCTGTAGTTATAAGAACGGTTAAATAACACTTATATTTAAAAAGTGTCACATTTGATTTGGAGCCATGGGTGTAGCTACAAATTTCCACTTGAGAGTGTCTTTGATCTGCCGTTTAAATAATACCTGTCAAGTAATTAACAGAGGATTTTCTTTGCAATATCATGCAAGCCAAAAACAAAGAGAAAAAAAGGGAAAAAAATGAGGCCAAATACACAAAAGCATTATTCTTTGGAGCATTAGAAATATATTTTTCTGATTCGGAGTATTAAAAGCTTGAGGAAAATGAAAATGTACAGACGAACTAAATGTAGACAACATGCTGTAATGTTTATTAAATAATTTTCACATTTGATGCAAATTGTCAAAAAGAGAAATATCCAATACAATCAAGTCTTTGTTGCTTATTTCACTGGATGGGAAGTTGCGTTAAAAGGCTTTTATATTGTATTAAACTAATTCACAACATTTTCTGATTCTCGGAAATAAATATAATGATTTATTTTAAACGCAAGATGAAAACAATATGCACATGTGGCTCCTTTCTTCCAGACGCTGACTCATTTTCCTACAATTAAACCCGTCAGACTATTGCCCTTAAACTTCAATAATATTATTTTTTATGCATTTCCTGACTCTAATTTATTTTTAATGTCACAGTAATAACTTCCGGATTCTGAATGTTTACATTAATAACCATTAGGGCTTGGAAACTCAAAGAAAAAGCTTAAGAGATAAAGAGGTAAATAATCGAGTGAGAGGAGGTTTTTAAAAATCTGAACTTCTCGTCATCTAACGTTGTTAAAATGTCTTCAGAGAAAGATGACGCGTTTATTGTTGTTCAAAATCAGCTTTGAGCTTCATTTAGTAGTTTTTTTCTTGCAGTGAACGCCATGGTAGCCATCAAAAGTCGCTTTATTCGTTCAGCAGCGCAGCGCTGAGTCGGGACTCACCTTAAAAGCGACGGGTAGAGTCTTGTTGCACCGCCAGTGGGAGGGCAGGACCGAGCAGAGAAAGTTGGGGCTGTCGGTCCTCACTAGCTCGGCCGGGTGGTCCGCGATGATCTCGGCCATACTGCGGTTTTCGTGGGGGCGCAGTCTTGGCACCGCAGCCGCTGCGTCCGGCTGCCCGGCTGGAGAGCTCACATCGTTCATCTTTCCTGGGACCGGCTGGAGGCTACTGGACGGCGGACTGAACCTCCGACTGGCGCTGGGATCTACGGGAATTCGCATCACAACAGCGTGGATTATCAGAAAAGGCACCAAAGGCTCTCCGGCTGCTCTCTTTCTTTCTCTCTCTCACACAGGGAGAAACTCAGGAGCGTGCGCCGCTGCTCGCTGAACCTCAGCGCGCCTGCCAATGGAAAATGGGACTCGAGTGAGCGCACACCGCGTTTCAAAACCCTCTCCACTACAAACTTTAGTGGTCGCCTTCAAACGACATAAAATAGACTTCTCCAGCAAGAAAAACAACCCTTAAAAAAAGTTGATGATGCTTTAAATGACAAGTTCTTTTTTTTTCTTTCTTTCTTTTTCAAACTCCTCGGTGGAAGAGTCCATGTGCCATAACGCTGGCGTAGTTGCTCATGTGCGGATATAAATAACATCAAATAAATGTCCGAGCTCGTAATAGGCTATACAATTACAAAAAAAGCACGTCTAAAATGGAACAGCAGACCCAGATGCTCAAAAAAAGAAAAGTTTTTTGTCTGTCTCCCTTTAGTGAAAAGTCATAGCGCAGCTCCAGGTGCGTCATTGAAGTCTTTGTGCCAAACTGAAAGGCTTTCTGAAAGTCCGCAGGCTATGTACACACAAAAAAACCTTTCAAAGTCAAAGGGATAAGCTTTAACAATACTTTACAGGGCTATTTACAATCCCGCGACGCCTGCAAATTCAACATATTTTTCTGTTAAGTCTTCCGGCCGTGCCGCTGATTTTGTGTAGGGTTAAAAAAAAGGTTTAAAGACGTTTGAAGAGAAAAAAAACTATCGCCGGTGAGATGAAGGAGGCGGAAAAACGAATCCCGGTTTTGTAGCCGTAAATGCGGTTAGTGTTTGGAGGCCGGGGTTTCCCGTGCTCAGGCTTTTTGTGGTTTATATAGCTCGAGCGCCCAGCAATTATTGCGCTGATGCGACTCCAACACGTGGTGTCTGGAGTCAGATGCATTCCCTGCGCCATAATCTATCACGCCTATATAGACTGCCGGACAGATCTCCCTGTAAATGGCCATAACTTCATGAAAGACACGTGGAGCTGCGTTTCACGCCTGTCTCTTACCCACATTTCAAAGTTTGCTCACAGCCTGTACCGTACGTACCGACATGTTACCGCTCCCCTGGACCATCAGCGCGCTCCTAACAGCGGAGGTGCTCATTTTCAGTCAGCAACGCGCACATCAGTCCATCAGACCGTGTAGTGTTACCGCCGTATCCTGACCGTAAACGGCTCACAGACGCGTTCAGAGAGAGCCGAGCCGCGGCGAGAAGCGAGTTACACTCCATAAGGTATAGGAGTGAGTGAGTCACCGGAGAGCGGTGAGTCAGGTAGAGGCGCAGGGGTAGAGTTTCACTCGGTCACAGGGGAGAGCTGTTGTGCAGGTGTACAGGTATTCTACTTTACAGGGGCTTTAATTTATGTTTATCCATCCACGTGGCCGCCCTGTGAACCGACTGCGCGTTTGGGAAAGGCATTTATGGAAAATCCAACTTCAACAGTTTCTGTGCCTCATACAACTTGTTAAATCTATTACACGGTCGTTTTATTACACATAGACCGAAAACAAACGATCTATCTATATAAGCAGCACCAAAACGAGACTCCTTGCGTAATTACGCACAACTTAAAATGTATTTGCATATTTCAAAACGAGATCACATACAGAGTAGCCCATTTAACGCAGCTTTTATTTCCTACTTTGACACACTTATTGTACTTTACTACAACAAAACATTATTTAACCCGTTTTCTTATTTAATTGCAGAATGTGTGAGACACAAAAACGCCGAACGGCTGTAAATTTAGCCAACAGTGTATCAAATTGTAAAAACCAGCACAATCTCAGCCAACAGCAAAACACTGCTTACACATGTATGCATCCTTAAAGATAACCCGGTAATTTACAACAGAGGAGCTCTCACAGGAGCCACTTTTCAGCTTTAAAAATGCTGAAACCTTCAGTTGATTTTTCGGCACTTGCGGTTTTTATTTTCGCAGCTGCTGTTTACATTTAAACTCAGAAAACGAATGAAAATAATTCTCAAGAATATTTAACACAACAAAAATAGTAGATCTGCAACTCATGACATAAAAATCATGCATTTTTATTAAAGCCTTATTTTTTTTAAAGCAAAATTGCTACATATATCCTTACACCACACCAAAACAGAACAAATAAATAATAATAATAATAAAAAAAATCACACTTTAACTTTTATGGCTGATATACTCTCTATGCCTGCTGCACTGAAAACAGTGAGAAGGCCTACTTAGCTTGTCCCTCTTGTGTCTACTGTAGAGGGCATCATTTACCCTCTGTGAGCCTCTATATCTCAGCCGGCACTCATCACCCACCCCACCCCACCCTCAGCCCTGATTACCCATCGGTCTCCCAATGAGACTTTTCTGGATGCCACATCACACATCAGCATGTGTACTGCCACTCTGTGTTCCATTTCCATTGCTCCCAAACAGGCTTTTATTGCAGTGAGTCTTTAAGACAAAGAGCTTTGATACTCCAGGCCTGTTTCAAAATAAATGGGACAAGTGGGAGGCACAGCTGTTGGGTTATTTGGATCCAGTCAGAGCCTTTGTAGCTTGTTTTTATGTTGTAAAGTTAGATGCAGTTTTATATACTTTGCTAAAGATTGCAGTGCTGTAAGAGAAATAATGTAATTCACCGTACACTACAGCCCGAGCGCTTGAAATAAGTCAAGTTCTTAAGTTTCACAAGCAAGTATGTGTGCACATATACATGTCTATTAAGTTGTGTGTGAGTGTGAGGATGTGGGAGGAATATATATATAATGTCTGAAAGCACTGACACGCATCTGGCACCTCGTCATGTGGACGGAGGAGGGGGGGGGGAGTGATTGAGTTACGCTTCCCTTCCGTGTGCCCCAAACACCAGAAATATGGTTCACATTGTCCAACATTCTCAAAGATCATCTAACAATTCATGGATGGATAAATGTGAATAGTAGTAATTAAATCTGTAATAGTGATAAACATGGACTTGCAGGAACCATGGAGCCGGTTATCCCAACAGAGTTAAGTTTCAGCTCTGATAATATCGCTTTTTTATCGTTGAGTAAATGTAGAGTAATGGGGAAAACACCCTTAATGTTGTAGTGGAATCTAGTTTAGGAAATTTAAAGGAGGCGGGGGCAATTTCATGCCATCAGCCAAATCAGCCTTATTACTTTAAATCCTGACTTAAATTTGAAGTGGAACTGTCAACGTGCACGTTCTGTGAATAAAAGACCCTTTAATGAGAACATTACACAAACTCACCAACTTTTCTAAGTCAAACTAATCACGCCTAAATTTAGATTTGCTGCACTCTGTTATTGTCCCATCAGAGGCAACGTAATTTTCCCGGCCCAACCCCAGGGCCCCAAACAGCCTCCCCCCCCTCCCTACCTAGCCGTGCTTTAAACTCTGACAAGCTCAGCTCATCAAAGAGTGTTTGTCCCATCTGACTCCGCTTTGCTTCTCCGCTGCACATCCAGCATCTGTCTTCCAGCTCCCTACAGGATACGGTCCACACTCGTACAGCACGAGGGCTTTTTACCGTCTGGCTCTCTGTCATTCAGAGGTATTGGGCAAACTCCGCACAAGTTTAAAACGTTTGATGTTCCAGAGATGTGACGGAAAGAAGGCGTTAATGTGCCAGAATAATCCGTTCAATAAAAAAAGAACATGCCATGCCTACCAAAATAACATTTTAGCAACCTGACAACTTTTGATTAAATGCGAATGCTGGAAGGTTTCAGGCAGAATTTGGCCTTTTAAGGATACTCCGCTGATCCTCCTCAGCATAAACTGATTTCATATGATGTAGTAATGAATCTAGCATAAAGCCGTTTAGCTTTTCAGTGGTTCTGCTGCTTGCCTGGTGCACAGCTGGATCGTCTCTCTCAGCTCTGGTATTATTCATCTACTGTGTTACACTGGCTTGGAGTCGCTGCACAGTAGGAGAAGTCACTAACAGCGAGGAACCACAGAATAGCACATCGAGCAGGATGTGCGTTTTTATGATTTATGGTAATATTGTATTTCGGCAGCTCAGTTTCAATTATTTGTTTTCAATAAAAATCAAACTTAGCTGACATTCTCTTGACTAATTTTCCTGTCGAGATATCAAGCGAGCAATAAAAGTTTCTGTTCTCGTTCCCACTTGGAATGACAAAGAGTCAAACCGCTAATATGTGCGCACATCCACCGCCTGTAATGTTGTCAGCAAACGAACTGCGCGAAAGCTTCTCCCGGCGCGTCTGTGACCTTCACGTCTCCCTCGCTGTTCGACATTCAAAGGGACGCATTCAGACGCGTCCTTACGAGGCGCGCGTATCCTCGCTGTGAACAACACCTCATTAAGGAAGATGACAAGACACAGGGCTCAGTGTTTCAGCTAAAAATGTGTGTAAACTTTCCAGCTTAAGCAGGAAACAACCAACTATGAAAATACGCTCACTTTTAGCTTTCTTAGAAAAATAATTTGTAACATTACGGTCATATAGCCTCACTCTTTCGCTTCTTCATAAGCATATACTGTACTCTCATCCAAGAGGAAAAGCACAGCCACTTAAGACTCGGGATTAAGACTCCATTTCACAGTGCTGCATTTTTCAAGACACTTAATTATAGCCTTCTAGAGGAGCGCAGTGACGAGGCCCAGGCTTTTTCAGCTCTAACGGGATGTTTCCATGTTTGGCAGGCCACCAGCCAAATGGTCTGCCAGCAAGCCAATCAGAGAGCCCACCAGGCTCTGCAACAAAGCAGCCAGAGATCCAGCACACGATCCAATCGACCGAACCGACCCGGAGAACAGGCATGTAGCTGCAGAACCAACTAAACTAGGGGACCGGTTAGTTAGCCAGCAGAGGAGGATGACGACGGACAGAAACTTTGTTCCTCGTGACCTCATCGACACGACCTCAGCGACTCACATCCCAGCGCTGATCCCAGATCATAGCTAAGCCCTTAATGACTGTTTGCG